CAGGAATGCAGGATGGGACTTCCTGTTTATAACATGCAAGAAACCTGGAAAAAGAAAGCTGATGAAACTGAGTATATCAACAGAAACTTCTATTAATCACGAGATGCCTACAACCAACACATTCCCTAACAGTAACCTTTATTACATATAATTTAAAAATTGCCTCTAAATAAACAAGTCAAACATCCAAAAACATACAACTGTTTCACAAAAATATTTTTACAACACTTAACTGGCATAAAACACCCCATTTACTCCACATTCCAAACATAACATTTTGGCCTTTTTTTTTTGTGGTTTTTGTTTGTTTGTGGTTTTTTTTTTTTTTAAGGCTAATCAACTTTACACCCATATCACTCTTCTCCTTTTAGGAAACCCTGCAGGGACAGGAGCCAGAGAATACCTCTCAGTCTAGTAAACTGTTTTAAATTAACCGAACTGCCAGAACAGGGAGGAGAAAAAAAAAAAAAAACAACACCCAAACCAAAATCAAAGAAAAAAAGTCATTTCTTCTACCATATTTGCCCCAGTCCTCCTGTAAGTTTGTCCACACACACAGAGTTTTACCTTCCTTGACAGAAGTACCAAATCTTGCCCCATTTTTCTGTATGGAAGCACTAGATTTCTATTCTACTATTGCAGCCCAACTGCTTATCAGCTGAGGGAAAAGAAGTCTTCAAAATTCTCCCAAAATGATTAAGGGGCTGTAAAACACAGAAAGACCCATCTAGTCCAAGTTCTCATTTGCAGCAGGGTGACATCCAAGTTGGATCCAGTTGTCATAGCCTTCTCCAGCCAGGCTCCGAGCAGTACCAGGGATGGGGACTCGGAGCCCCTGCTCGCACCTGCTCAGGCAGCATGACCTGTGTGTACAGTCTTGGGACATCATGTACACACACAGCAAACGGGCATCAACAAGACCCATAACTGCTGCTGGTAGGACATCACACTTTCAGTATAAAAAGCAGTAAGAAATTAATTTTTCTTTTTCTTAAGGGTGGGAATAGTAGGAGTGGCTGTGGAAAAGGGTGCAAGAGCTCTCCATATGGAAAAACAGGGAGCTCTTTTTCCACTTGCAGGTCACTTTCAAAACAAAACAATAAATGCCAAACACTCAGGATGAATTACCAGAGAACTTTCATACAAGAGCATTTACAGCCTCTTACCATTTTCCACTTGGTAGATTACATAGTTAAGGGCTATTTAGTAATCATAAGACCACAATAAGTAAACGTGCCAGCTTTAGGCACCCTGCACCATGGGAACAGCTAACTTCCACATTAAGTCTTTTTCTGGGAGTGCAGCTGGAAAGGCCAACTACACACCTGGGCAGCTTAAAGGTGCCAATCCCCCATGCAGAAACCGAGAGCCAGGCCAAACAGGTTCCTAAAACAGGACAGTCCACATCTGCTCATGTGCCAATAAATCCTCTGGAAGTTAATTAAAGCCACATTTCCCTGAAAATCTTATATTAAAAACCAAAGTTATTTATTAATAGTGCTACAGCGTCAGAAAGCAAGACATATCTGAAGTGGGATGTTGAAACTGATTTGACACAAGTGAAACATGACACAGAAGTCTGCAAGAAGTTCTTCTCTGCACCTCAGAGCCAAGCCCTGCTAGGCAGACACCCCCTGCTGCACTCCCGAACACCAGGCCTGGTCCAAGGAGGACCTTTCTCGGGCAGCATTAGCACCCACCTGCCTCTGCATCCAGGACAGCAGGCAAACACAGAACGCCCACAAGGAAAACGTTAACACAGAGAACGCTTTCACTTTCCTTCCCGAGGACCCTGCTGCTGCTGTGAGAACACAAGCCAGGCTTCTCAAACAACAGCTACCCAGGGCCCTCCTCACCTGCTCTGGCCAGCGCTGCTGCCTTTGTCGCTACTCACAGCTTTCTCAAGCAGCAGTGAGGAAAACCACGTCCCTGACGCTTCCCTGGTGTCCACGGAGCTCTCACACCAGGCCACAGGTGCTGCCGGGGGCTGCGCTCCCCGCGACAGAGACAAGAAAATCACCCGTTGCACATCCTGACTTGGGAAAAGGCGTACTGACCGGCCC